GCTCGCTGGCCATGTCCTTTTGTGGCACGGCGCTCAAGGTGCACTGGCTGCCACAGCCAGCAAGGATACTCTGCTCCCAGGTGTATCTGACGCCGTCGGCGAGCGGTGGTTCAGGTGGCGCGGGTGCGGGCAGCCAGTCACCCTATTCCACGGTCTCCATGAACAGCCTGACGCCTCGCAGCTCCATTTGCAGCGAGCACGGCTCCATGGACGGCCTGTCCATGAACTCCTTCTCCATGCCGTTCAGCGTTAGCGTGGGCAGGCATATGAGTCTGACCCCGCCTTTGGACGTGCCCGCACCCGATCAGCAGTCGCTGTCCATTGCGGACAGCGGACCACGCTTCTCCTCCACGTACAGCAACGCCACCGACTCGGGCTACTCGGCCAGCGCCAGTGGCAGCGGCACAGGCGGCCCCTATTCCAGTGGGGATCAGTGGTCGTATCAGTATTCCACGCGCAGCAGTCTTGGCAGCGTCCTCTCCGATCCCTCGGATGCGATGCGCAAGCTCAGCCTCGACGACTGGGCCATCTATGCCAGCTCGCCCCATCTGGATGAGTTTGCCAGCGATGGCTGCCTGCAGCGCCGAATCTCTCGCAATCTGCGCACCTCCTTCGAGAACGAGCATTCCAAGAACGACTTCATCGGCTTCTTCAGCGACAACTATGCTGCGGCCACAGGTCAGGCAAATGGCAGTCGCCCAGCGGGAGCTGCCAACGGCACTGGCGGCAGTGAGGGCGGCGGCATGGCTCCACCCCAGTACAGGCGGGCGAGCTACTGTGCGAACGAGTCGCGCAGTAATCCGGAGATGGGTTGCCGGCCGGCGAACTTGAAACGGAGACCGAGGCTTGGCCTGGCTGTGTGCATTACGATGAGCGAATCCTTCGAGGAGGAGATGGAACTGTTCTGCAGCGAACATATTGCACTGCTGGAGTCGATGCTGAGTCGGTTGAGGGCAAGCACGGAGCACGCATACATCAATTACAAGAACTTTCTGCAGGTGAGTTACGGTTCACATAATTCTCGTATTCCAAATAACGAAATATTTGCCCTTGCAGATCATGTTCCAGGCCTGGCAAGATGCGCAGCAATGGTTCAGCGATCTGTTTACGGCACCCCGCATCAAGACGCCCGTCTGGCTGAGCATTACGACCAGCGGCAGCAAATACTCCAAGACTGTGGCCGAGCGATTCATCAAGGAGCTCTGCGACCTGCTCTCCTTTGCCGACACCAAGGACTCCAATTTGTAAGTCATACGACCAATTCCTCTATCATCTTCAAGAGATCCTTATAAATGTCTCTCTCTCTCTCTCTCTCTCTATTTCTCTCTTTTGCAGCTTTATCAGCACCATGTTGACTGGCATACTCACCTACCATCTGGGCTGGGTGGCCACCGTGTCCGCCTTTAATAGCTCACGTTCGCGTCGCTCCAGCGCCTCCGCCTCCGCGGCGGCCATTGAGCAAAGGGCGAAGCTGTTGCAGGTCTCGCAGAAGCACCCGTATAATGCGCTGTGGGCACAACTGGGTGATCTGTATGGCGCCATTGGCATGCCGCCCAGGCTGGCGCGCACCATCATCTATGGCTCGGAGAAGATGTGGGTGGAGAAGCTGCTGAATGTGCTCACGTATTTTATACGCTGCAGCGAAGTGCGGCGAGCAGCCAAGCGGGAGGACTTCAACAAGCAGCTCATCAATGAGCTGGTCGTTAGCCAGAGCAATCAGGAGCGGTATAAGAGTCCGCCCACGTTGCGAAGACGCGCGGCTGGAGCTGGCTCCGGTCTCACTCGCACCAGCACCTGCAAGCAGAATCTAAATGCGATTGTGGACGATGCCGATTTGGAGCTGCAGCAGCTGGACGAACTGCACAGCGGCGAAGATGAGGAGCTGGACGGAGTGCAGCAAGACGATACCCATTTTATTGGCACCATGAAGAAGAACGAGATTCCCAATGTGTTGGCATTTCGCGACTCGCACTTTGTGCAGCAGGAGCTGCGCATTGGCAACTACCTCATGGACACGGGCATCGATAAGAAGACCCTGCTCGCCCGACAGGCTCAGCAGTATCTGCGCACCGGCAAGGATGGACGCATACGATTGACGGTGACGACGCCGGAGAACGTTGAGCTGTGCATGGAGGAGGACTCGAATGCCGGCTCTGTCGGCACTGGCGGTAGCATCGATGATGGCGCTATCGAAGCTCTGGAGTTTGACGAGAGCCGAGCAGCAACAACACCAGCAGCAGTAGAAAAGGAGCAGAATACCGTGTTGCCGGGAAAGAGGAACTTCTTTTGGAACATTGTGCCCACGGCTGGAGTCAAGGAGGGACTCAGTCTCAGTGATCTGCAGCAGGGCGCGAAGATCATTAACCAAAAGCTGGAGCGCCGCTGCAGCAGCTATTCCGTGGAGAGCGATACCCTGCCCGGTGGAAATGTTCCGGTAGAGCCAGTTGGCCAGGATCGTCGAGTCTCGCACTTGTCGCTCTCGTATCTAATCACACAGAATAGCATGGGCAAGAGCGATCGCATGACATGGGGCATTGAGCCCATCAAGGAGAATGTCAGTCTCGAGGAGCAAATACACTTTGATCTCTCCCAGAAACTCATCGAACGGGACCACGGCATTTGCCGCCAGACCTCAACGGATAATGGCAACGGCGTTGTCTTTGTATTAGGTGATAATGAGCCGCTGATCAATCTGAAGAAGAGCAACGAGGATCTCACAGATGATGCAAAGCCAGCAATGCTGTGCGCCCAGCATCAACACACCCATAACGCCTCCATGGCCAACAAGAAAAACTCGGGCATACAGTTCAATTTCGCGACATATCCGCAGATTGTGACCAACTACATGAAGAGCAAGAATCTGGTCATGTCCAACTATGATCTGTTGATGGATAAGGCCAGCAAGCTGGAGGCCAATGAGTCGTTGAAGTCCAGCGACAGCACGGTCACTCTCCACCAGCAACAGGAGCAACAGTTGCAGAAACAACAGCAAAAGCATCAAGCGGAACTGGCGGCCAGCAGCAGCTCGGCCACAGTTGTGGGCAGCGATCGCTGCATATTGTGCAACAGTGGTGGCACCTACCAGACGCCCTCCAATGCCACCGAGCTGGAGTTCGAAACGGATGAAGTGCACTGCTATAACGAGAGCAGCAACAACAGCTCTGCTGTTCTGCAGTCCGTCAACTCGGCTGCCTCTATAGATACGCTGAAATCGATGCCGGAGCCTCCAAGTACGCCCAGCTATACGAGACGAGTGCAGCCCAAACGTGTGCCCTCCCAGCGCGGCTCCGTCTCCTCGGTGGCTGCCAAGTGTGCGGCTGTCAATGAATCCCAGCAGCTTTTGAAGCTGCCTGTGCCGGGTATCAAGGAGCTGCCACAGGAGGATGAACCACCGGGCGACAAGTTGCGCGCCGGCTTCATTCCATCGCTAATGCTGAGCGTGAACGATCACTACGTCTCCGATATGGTGCTGCAGGGCACCTGTGCTGCGCCCTGTAAGTGGGAGTTGAATCTACGCGAGGATCTGGCGCTGGCCGCTCGTTCCGCCTCACTCATCTCACAGCCAGCAGAGAATATCGCCATTGTAGCGGACATGGACAAGTGGGATGTACGTCTAATCTCGTCACAGGCACAGCAGTTTCCGTATGCCGGCGGCCAGAGCTCCCCGGTGGGCATGTCCCAGCTGGTTTCCAGCATGCTAGAAGCTGTGCAGGCCATGCACGCAGGCGGCATACCCGCTTACGAGGTAGGTTCATAGCCGGCCAGACTTTCCACAGCCTCAGCTAATAGCTCTTCCTTTTGCAGTGTTTATCATTTCTGGAGTCCAAGTTGCAGGAGATCTATATGCAATCTGAGACTCTGGCTGCCTTTCTGCTGGAAACAGATCCCTGCCGACTGGGGGACATAACAACTCCGCTGCAGCTCTCGGAGAACGATATACCGCTGCTGTTGTCCATCGCCTACATTCATACGCCGAAGATCAGCCGTAAATGCGGCATCAGCTTCAGATGACAATCACGTCGAAGCAAGCCCGATCATTGCCAAAACATATTTAGTATAACAAGCATCCATCATCAAACTTCATCATCTCACGCACCATCCAAAGCGAAACAAGCAAATACTCCAGCGAATTTTCTTTTCACTGACTTTGTGATATATATTTATATGATTAATATAGCGTGTAGGGAAAGCAGGTTACATTTAGTTAGGGTCTTACGTACGGCAGCTTAACATAACAAACATAAACAATCAAACACTCATACAATATATTGTAGAAACACTCACACACTCAACACATCGATCACTGCATAAAGAACATTTAATAACATTTATAGCTATATATACCATACAACGTTTTAATTTAGAGAACCCACTCATCGCAGTCACATGAAGAAGTATTGTAAATTATTTGATCTAGATTTAGTTAGCGTGATTATATGTTCACGATTTAGTAGCACTCCAGTCTGTTATCGGTCGATCGATCGATCGATCGATAGACCGACCGACCGACCACTGTATCATGTGCTCGAGCTATGCGTAGTGTTTGTATTAGATTTAATAATTTATGACAGCAATAATCTATTAATTGATTTAATTATATTATACCACCATACAATAGACGTATAAATAAGTATATACTGAAATTAAGTGTGGGGGCATCGGTTAGCATTCGGGAATTAACTGTAAACACAATCTGTATACGTAAGCAATGAATAAGTTTGTATAAATAACTTTGAAAGAAATAACAAAATACAAAAACAAAATTTGCTAAGTGTATTTTATATAAAAGTAATCTAAGAATGAAGTAAGTTTTATCATATCATGTGTTATTAGGTACTTACATGGAATGATATCCAATGAGACTGGTAGTGCCTGAAGCGGTGCTGCCTGCAAAATTTGTTGCCTGCTTTTAGGCTTCCGTGAAATTTGTTCTCATTTCAATATTTCGTTTTTATTTAATAACTTGCATATATATACATAAGAATATATAATTTTACATTAACATAACTAACACGCATGCATACATACAGATTGCAGATTGCTTCGTTTATAACTAATGCACATAATTTATAGGGCAGTAATTGTTTATGATTTCTTTGCTTGCCGTGTAAACAATTAATTAATTATCACATTTTCTAAATCGACATATATATATATAATGTACTTATACAAACTGTATTGATAGACTACTTGATTTGAATACTCGGCCCATTTGAATGGAGCCGTAATTGGAGATGGCGTCGAGAATCATTTGCCCTTTTGCGCCTCCAAGTAGGTGGCGGTGAAGGTAAGTAGGCGGTGTCTCTGCTTTAAATTGCGTGCGCGAACGTGGGACGAGTTCAATTCCTCCGTATAGCTGCCGGGAAACCAGCCGACAGCTCCGTCTCTTATCCGCTCACCCTGATACCAACCTAAATAGGAAAAAAAGGAGTATAAATTTACAATTCTGTAAGATCTAGCATCGGTGAATGGCACTTACCATCCGGCAGCTTGCGTGAGACATTAACCACGTCGCCCAGCTCCAGCTGTAGCACATCTGGCTCATCAGATTCGTAGCTGTGCTTGGCAATAACCTGCGGACAGTCCCACGACTCGTACAGTTTCTCACCAGGCGTTTCCGCCTCCGGTGGACGCATGGCCTCCAGCCAGCGCTGCTGATCAGACACTGATGGGCACGACAGCACCTGCATAGAGGAATCGACAGATAAGCAGGTATTCAATTGATAAAGTAAAGTAAGTGGACTCACAAGTTCAATTGTCTTGCGCTCATGGTTCTCCAGCAGTGTCATCAGCATGAGATTTTTGCTAGTCGGATCCTTGATGTCTTTGGTAGGCAGCTGGGGCAGATTGTCGCCCGATGTCAGAGTCAACATGCTTCTTGGACAGTAGTCGAACACCGAAAAGTTGGAGTCGCCCTTGCGCTTGCAGAGCACCAGCAGATCGGAGAAGAGGAATGCATAGATGCTCGACTTGGTGAAGCGTTTACCAAACGTCAGCTTCGCATCATCGCCGCGCCACACTAGGTGAGTCAACTCGCCCCGTTTAACCAGGAAACGCGGTTTGGCGCCCTGCTTGGGCACTCCCATTGGTGCAATGGCCAGGGCTCGTATATGACTGGGGAATTCTAATTGTTTGGAGATGCGCTCCAGCTCGTATGCTTGCTCACAACGATTGGCTGCCTCGTTGCACTGGGCGACGATCTTCTGCACGAGTGCCAGGGCTAGTTTCCAGCCCTCGTATTCCTCAGTATTGTGTGGTGACTCCTTGCTAAACACCGCATCGATGAGCAGTGGAAGACGCGTGATTCGCTGCATGGGCAGCATGAGGAACGAATGCAGATTGAGCCCACAGCAACTGGGACTCGCCTCGAGCTTTTCCAGATGCTGCTGGAACGCTCCGTTCTTCGCCTCCTTCAAACGACGCAATGTTCGATCCATGCGTCCCTGATGCTCACAGAATGTAATGTACACATGAAAATGCCGTTCGGCAATCTCGTAGATGCAACGGCTCAGTCCGACCAACATGATATTGTTCTGCCAGCAGCACTCCAGCTCGGTGAGCAGGCGCTCCGAGCATTCGTGCACGGGCACAATGTAGGAGAAGAGCGCCTTGCGATCCTTCGTGCTTAGCACGGAGCTATCGCAGAAGGCGGTATTGTTCATAAAGTGACGACGCAGCAGATTGAGAGACTTCAAATAACTCGCCTCTGACGTCATGATCTCGAACTTGGCCTCCTGCAGGCCACGTTCTCGCGGTGTCAACGTAGCTGCAAGCAAAGATATAAGTAATCGGAATCGCCAGAGTGTTAAATTCAGATGCTTACGTAGAATGCCAGAATGGATGACCTCTGGTATTTCGCTCCACAGCGTTCGCGATGGCCCATTCTTGGGTTCCACCAGCTGCAAGGCGCTGGGGCGAGTCTTTTGGGTCTGCTGCGCTGGTTCCTTTTTGGCATGCGCATGTTGCCCAATCTCCTCATACCCATCCGTTGAGCTCTCATGCGCCTCCAGATCACGTGTAATGGACTGGAAGTAAACCAGATTAAAGCTGAGTTTCTATACTGGGTTACAATACGAATTCACTTACCTCCAGCTTAGCAGCGCTGTAGACCTGATAGAGTGGCTCGTTGAAGAACAAGCTGTGTGGCTGCAGCTCATCACCCAGACCCGCCTCGTTGCCCGTGGAGACTCCGGAGCTGCCGCTCGAGCTGGCCACAGAGATGCCGCTGGTCTGATACAGTCCCGACTCGGTATACCATGAGCTGCTACCTCCTCCAGGGGTATTTGGTGTAGGCGTGGTTGGCTCGTCAGTTCCATGTGGAGCGGTTAGGGTTGTTGTTGACTGTTTGAAGACGCCGCATTCGGCATACCAAGAGGTGGGTGAATGTGGCTCCAGCTGCGTTCTATTACTATTGCGCAGCTCCACTGACGGCGGCGGCGGTGGTGGCGGATCGTGCGGACGCACGCCAATGGTCGTGCGACGTCGCATGGCCTTCGCCTCCTTTTTGGTTTTCCGTGCGACTGTCGAGAACTTTTGTGACTCCGCGCTGGGCGTTGCCGGCATAACGGGTATATCGCCAGAAGAGGCCTTCTCCGAGAAGCCCGAGTCCAGTTCGCCAGAGCCATGGTGTTCCTGTTGTTCGTGCTGCTGCGGTGTCGCTGGATCCTCAATGTAGAATGTACTGCGCGTTGGCGTTAGCGCCGCCAGCTGCTTTGTATCAAAGGAGGCACCAACCAGGCTCTTGCGTAGCCTCGATCTGAGACTCTTGCCATTCTTCTGTTTGGGTCTCAGCAGGCTGGCAGACGACGATTGCTGCTCCTGCTGCTGTTGCGGATCCTGTTGACTCTGACCGGCCACCAGATTGCGCTCGGAGCTGCTCAGCGAGCCGGCCGGCTCTTGCGGCTCCCGCTTGCGGCACTCCACATAGAACTGTGCTCCACTATTCTCGTAGATCTTCTGCTGGCTGCCCTTGTGCGACTTCTTGCTCGAGATGAAATCCTTGAACTTCCGCACTATGGCATAGACTTGATTCTGTGGCGCCGGCGGCAATGGCAGCCGATGATTCCGCATGTCCACGCCACTATCATTGTGCTGCAAATGTAACTGAATTAGATCTGGTCTGTACGGTTAGGTATCGGGGTGAATCTTACGTGCTGCAGGCGCTGCTCTGGCTCCGTAGGCTCGTCGCTGTCTGTCTCAAACGAATCGTAGTCATCCGAGTAGATTTGGTGTTGCCCCAGGGCATGCGCCGATGCCGACTGCTGCTTGCTGCTGCGCTCCTGATGCCGCTTGTGATGCTGCCCGGGCAGCAGCTGCGTCGAGTGGCGCTTGTTGCCCAGCGGCGACAGCGTCTCGTAATAGTGATCCGAGTCATCTGTGAAGTTGACAAAGGGGAGTGACAAGGGAATTAGTTTATAGTCGATTCATAATCGATTCGGGTAAACTCTTCTGCACTCGGCGGCTGCCCAAAACGAACCTACAAAGCTGCTGACCAGCACGCTCTCTCGACTCGCATCGCCTGGCTCCACGTGGCGCACGCGCAGCACAGTCTGATGCAGTGGCAGGCGACGCGGCTGCTGCTGTTGCAGCTGTCGCTGCTGACTGATGGCGGCTGCCTCATTTTGATAGATGGGCTCCGGCTCCGGCTCCGTCTTGGAGCTCGGCTCGGCATTCAGGTAAACACAGCTTGTTGGGCAGGTGATGCTCACCTCGCCCACAGCGCGCGGCCGACGCTTGCGTGGCAGTGTGACCAGCTGCTGCTGTTCGCCTGAAGCGGCGCTTTGCGCGTGGGCGTGGCTGCTGCGATTGCTGCTTGTGCTCAGGCTGCTCGTGCAGCTGAGACGTTGACTGTGAGTGAGGCGCGTTGCCATCGCAGCATATTTTAGGCACTCGATGCGTTTGCTCTCCTATCGACTACTGCACTAATAATGAATACCAAGAATTAATTCAATGCTCCGTTCTTCGAGTTGTTGTTGTTATTGTTGTTCGGTTGTTGCAGCTGAACTCTTGAACTCTCTTTGCAGTCGCATTGGCTGCTGCTCGCTCTCAATTGAAAGCAATTGAATGCGCGCGAAACGATAATTTATTGCCCTTTTATGGCTGCATTTAGGCAAAGGGAAGTTTTCAGTTGGCTATGTGCGAGGGCTGCCTCGACAGTTAACCTAAGTTTTTAATTTTAGTAATCACAGTATTTTCTCAGCTGATACTTCATAGTATAGGTATATTTTCTATACTATATATATATATATTATATTGTTTCATAATAGGCAAATATATTTAAAAATTTATAGTCTATCAATTATACTTTTACTAAATTTAGCCATAGCTTTTAGAAGGCTGCTTCTAAATAACCTTGGCCTAGCCTTGAGACAAATTGGATTGTTAATAAGCTATATTTGTTATTTAAAGTTGTATTTGTTATCACAACAATACAACTTCACATAACCTTATGCCTCTTGTCAATAAGAAATATTTGTTATCAGAAGCTATACCACAACTATAGAAATTCACATAACAAATATATCTAATTAACAATTCAAATTTAGAAAATGAAGCTAATCAATATGATAATGAAAACCTTTCTTATGCAGGTTCTACTTCACAAAAAAGCAGTTCAATGCCAACTTCGAAAAGAATTTGCTTGTTTATCACACTTATGGCACTGTTGAAACAGCTTTAGCTGTTTAACTTCATTTAGAGTTCGAATTCTCCAATAGAACAATAAGAAAAGTTTTGCTTTCAGTTTTTGTGTGCGCAATCAAAATAATAAAATATGCTAATTAACGGCTTAGCCCAGAGCAACAATTGTTTATAATTGAAGTTATAAATTTTGGCACAATTTTATTGAACTGCCCTCGTTGCGCTTGGCTCTACGCTAATTAAGCAAATTTTTCAAGTGTCACAATAGTATTGTGCGAGCAGCCCTATATAAACGCATTGAAACAACGCGGCGTATGCGTGATTCGGAGGCATGCAAAATAGCGCGAATTATAATGAAACGAAAAGACATGCTTCAATGCAGACACAACAATGAAAGAAAGACTAAACAGAGGCGAAAATGTACATAAAAAACAGAAACAGCAGGTACAATTGGGCACCCAAAAAAGCGTTAGACTAGATAAAACCAGAGCAGCGACACACAAAGCACACTCGAATATTACGTATACGCAGCGAAGCGAACCGGTTCGACTGCAAGATAATAAAATAGAGTTTCATATATGGTCAGAGAGGCGGCGGCAGCTGGATGCTAAAAGCTGCTCAAAAAATGGATGTGGATATACACAGAGAGAGAAGGAGATAGAGAGAGAGTGGGCATTAATGAAACATGATCATTTTGTGTGGCTTGTTGACTGGACAAAGCGACACTTGTTGCTTGTTGTTGTTGCTGCTGATGCGTGGGACGCAACTTGTTTGGGTTTTGTTGCCAGTCGCCGTCAGTTGCTCAGAATTGTGCGCCAAAGGCCAATTTCATAAGCCAATTTCTGGTAAATGTCGTTTACAGATATCTTATGGGTTTTTTTTTATTGAGCAGTGAAGAGGGAGAAGAGAGCTTGAGAACTGGAATGACGGCGTCGCTAGCGAGATTGAAAATATATAATTTGATTATACATACATGGAAAAATGAATAAAAAAAAAAAAATAAAAAAATAAGAAAGGCTATCAAGCTCGAAATAAAATTATAAAATTTATAAAAAGCATTCTAATATTAATTCATTAGCACTTTATGGTCTTTTACGATGATCGTATTCGATCTATCTATCTTCTACAGTTATTATTACTAAATTTTCACATTTACATAGCTATTGACCTTCGCTCTACATAAACCTAATAGATTATTCTACCTTTTGGTCATTGCAAATCACAATATAACGAAATTTGAGCAGCTTTTTGGACCGTGAACGAGCATTACACAGTTGGTTGCTTCCGGCTGTTTCGTTCTTTTCGCTAAACTACAACAAAAACAGTTATTCAATTTAATGATAGAATTGTTTAATCCAGGGACAAAACTTTAAACAAGTTTGCACTATTTAACATAACTTCTAGACCTATTTTTTTGCTCAGTGTATTGCGTGAGGCGGAAATGTGAAAAATTCGTTCTCTTTGGTTACCTTTTGGCCAATTATTGAAGTTTTGCGTGTGGGCCACGCACAACGTTTAAACAAAAGAGTCTAGACAAACAACAGATACAGCTATATGTATAGACATCTACTATATGTGTCTGTCTATATAGACATGTATGCAATTACTGCAAAATCTGTTGAGATTGTCTATAATTACAAGAAAAGAAAACAATTCTTAGCCTTGGCTAAGTGCATGCCAAGCGGTTCACTTGCTACGCTCTATCTCTATCTATCTCTCTCTTACTTCATCACGTTCTCTGCTTTAAAAAAACATTTTTAATTATTTCCAATTTTCAATGCAGCTGAAACGTTTCTTTAGATTGATCGATTGATCGATTGACGCATCGAGGTCAAACTGATTAAAAGCCAAACGATGTCATTGTCGAAGATGAAAACAAGTTTGATTTAACAGCTTAAGCCGGAGAATTAACAGCAAAAACCATCAATTTTTCATAGCGGCTTTTCCGCAATTGCGTGCCTGCCAATTGGGCGTATTTTATGTCTTTTTATTACACTTTCGCTTTTCTTTTTTTTACTTTAATCATCGCGTGTAGGAAAAATAAAAAACGAACGTGCCCTGTGTAAAAGTTGAGCTGAGAATTAAAAGTCGTCGCATTGCCTGCCGGGGTTTTCAATTAATTTCGCCCCAGACTCTAATTGCAACGCATTTAACATTTTACAGTTGTTTGCTTTAGGCATTTAACAGTTAGCAGATAGCAGTTGGGCCTGTTGCATTTGACTTCCCAATTAGGTGCGTCGCTGCGCTGCATTGCGCTGCTCGCGTTCACTGAACTTTTTCTGTCGGCTGCCGCCGCGGCGGCCATATTGCAAAAGCTTTTGTTTTTTTGTTGTTTATTTATGGGATATTTTCTTTTTGTTTCGAATGCTCCTCTTTTGAATGCACATCTTTATTGCATATGGATTACGTTTGATTTTGCAATTTCGCACGTTTTGCTTTTTACCTATTCAACTATTTACTATTTCTCTATGTACTTCAATTTCGCTCCGTCATTGCAGTGATTTTTTCTTTCAGTTTGAGTTCCTTAAGCTGTTCGCCGTGTTTTTATTTTTCAACTGCTTTTAACTTCTTCAAGGTTGTGCGCTTTATAGTATTTCTAGACTGGTTTTCGCTTAACAATTTCGTCATCTCTCAAAGCAGCAGCAACAACAGCAACAATAACGGTGAAACATTAAGCTTTCAGTTGACGCTTGTTTGCGGGTGTAGGGCAAATGAGGCAGACGAGCGAATTCAGTTTCGGTTTTAGTTCGTGACGTCTCGATGCCTTTTCATAAAAGTACATCACAACAACAATAGCAACAACAACAGCGTGCAATAATTCAAAGCTAGCTGCGCAGTCGACGCTAACGTCTGACGCTGGGGTCGTTTGCTAATTTTGCATGCACCGCATGCATTTTTCTTATAATCGCTTTTCTTTTTCACTTTTCACAGTTGCGCGCACGTACGCATAACAACATCAAAAACGAAAAAATATTAATTATAATTATTATAGAAAATATATTGCATCGTTTTTTCACACTAAACACACACAAATTCCACTGGTTGGGCGACTTTTCGACAGGCAGCGTCCGCAAAACGAACCGAACGTGGAAACTGACGCGCCGAGACTGGGCAGCTGGGAGAGAACCTGAGACTGACTGCGAGTCAAAGAGCGAGCGCAAGCAACGGTGCGAGTAGGTCTGTGAGAGACAGCAAGAGATACCAGTGGCTGACATTGCTGTTGCTGCTGGCAGCTGTGGAATGAAAATTGCACAGCAATAAGCTCAACCGTCCAGTTTATGGGCATTGTTTACGCGCGCGCGCGCCCTCTCTACTTGTTGCCTTGTGTGGAACCTGTCGCAGGATGCAGCCGCGCACAGCCGGGCGCCAATTGCAGTTCCAATTCCACTTCCAATTTTCGTTGCTTTTGTGAGAAATGTGCGCACAGTGCTTACTCACTTGATGTGTATGCGCGCGTATGTGTGCGAGTGTCTGTGTTGTTGCTGTTGGGCTTTACTCTCATTTGCATTGAGCATATTTAACTGTGAGTTGTGTTTACCGCCGTGTTAGTTTCCATTTCATTTGACATTTTATTTTCTTCGTGTTCGCAACACCTAAGGCCATACTCTTAACCACCTTGACTTGGGCATCATTACGGCACATTTATCAACAAAATGAATTGTCGTTGACGGACCCAAAACTACATTTATAATAAGCATAATTAAGGCAATTTAAGTGTCAAGTTGATTACGCGAGCAACAGTATACTATGGAAGCCATGTGGAGCGTAAGCTTCGCAAAGACACAAACCATAACTTGCACAACAGCTGCGATTGCAAGTTTGACTTAAAAGCTTCAGCTGCTTCAACATTTGAAAGCTTTCCATTTGTATTTTTGCGGCGCGTTTTTATATAGGAAATACAAATTGTTAAGACAAGGAACATATTTTATAATTGAAATAAAGTAACAAAGAGGAACAAGGCTAACAATAAATAGACTAAACGGAACAGCGGTCTTTGTATTTAAGCGACAGCACGCAGAACAAGAGCGTGAATGTCAAAAAGTATACAAATAGCAGATGCCCTGTAAACAAAGCTTTGATACCTTCGGGGATATACAACTATTATGCAACTTGTAAAGCTTTAACATGGCATATAGCACATATGCACATATATTAACCTACTTTCCAGTGTTATAGGCTATCAAAAGATGAATGAAGATGTATGCATTTTAAGCAGTCTGGGAAAATTGCGAATAAACAGCTTTGTCAGCGCTCTCTTATCTAATACAGATATTGTTTTTGCCATGAGTACATGTATTTCTGTTTGTTTGTCTTAGTATTTACTTCTCTTACCCTCTATGCAGCTTTTGGCCTTGTTTTGTTGCAGTCTTTTGTCTCTTATGCGTTTCGACCAATCGGGACTTCGAACGCGATGCTGCTTGAATCGTTCCCGAACGCTGAAAATAATAATAGTAAATATAAATAAATATGTTTCAATTAATTATATATGATGGTTATCTATAGTACTTCATAGTGATCTATCAAGTCAGTCAGCGACCGAAGTAGTGAGAGAGAGTACTTCAATGTTGGGCGCCTCGCTTTCAACTGTCTATACTTTGGGTTCGGCTGCGCTTGAAGTTATCAGATTGTTAGATGCCCTACAAAGTTGCCCAAGTGAAGTCGGCCAATCTTATCTGCCTGATAACAGTTGGAATTGTGGGTCAACCAATTAATGTGGGTGGGTGCCCACCAATAAGTAAACTGCATTCGCTCTTCTGTTGCAATGCCTAAGGAATATTTCATTTACTCAGTTAAGATCTGAGGGCGCAATGTAAATAATACTGATCTATATAGACAACTCAAACGTTGTGACTCGACAATTTGTTAATTGTTAAGAAATGGTTGTCTGTTCATCTGATTGGGTTGCCTAATAATTGAATAAATGACATAATAATTGTCGTAAGTATTTCTTAAATGGTGCTAAAGCGAAGTTAAATTGTTGAGTGAATGCAGACTCAAGTGAAGAAGAAGAAACAGAAGAGTTATTAAAATATGGATATACCCTATACAAACATGTGAGCGATCACGTAGAGATAGAGAAAGACATACTAAAACAGAGAGAAAGAGAGCTACAAAGGAAAATAGAGGCAGTGAGAGGGAGAGAGAGTGCAAGAGAGATAGAGAGAGAGATACAGCAAATGGTAGCAGTAAAGTAAATAAACTATTTTCATAAAGTTAAAACTGCATTTCAGAACGAAAAACTTTGACTGATAACTGAAATGAGTCAGAGAGAGAGAGAGAGAGAGTGTGTTATCATTGCAAGCGTCACTTTTGATATGGTGACGTTTCGGATAATTCTCCAATGATTCACAGCCAACCCTAAATATAATTTCATCTTAAACAATTTTGTAATCATAAGGCATTCATAAACCAACAACGCAACTAAACAAATACTAAATGACACATAATCAAAATTTAGCATATATACGTACAGGTATAGAAACCGCTAACCACTGCCGATTTCTATCTTATCGCCCCTAACATGTATAGTATATAGAAAGCAACTCTCTGAATAAAAAGTGCAAAAGCTACACAAGGGAAATGGTGAGCAATCAACGGGTTGATCTAAGTTCAGCGTCTACCCAAGATTAGGCGCAACTGCAACTAGCTGTTTAATAATTTTCTATATGTTCACTAACCCATTAACCTTATTGGAAATGCTTGAAAAGCAGTTGCCTTGACCTAATCTCTCTTTAGGGTTAGTATATTTCTTCATAGCTTTGTTATGATATTTTCGACTGTGGGCAATCTTTGGGCAACCCTCGCCCTTCTGCTCGCTGCACCGATTGGCGTCAACCGGGCCGCAGTCGCCGATAAGATAAGCCCAACCCAAACAAACTAATCAGCAATCTACGCAGAATTCGTTATCAATACCCCCCACTTCCTATCGCCCTCTCTCCCTCACCCACTCAGTCTGCCTCTTTCACCCCTTTTTACTTACACAACGAACTGCGCCTCGCCGATGGCTGTGGACGTAGCCGTCGCAGCTGCTGTCTCTGCCTCGCCATCGGATATATCCACCCAGGCATCRCTGTTGTCACTGGAGCCAGCAATGGAGGATCGCTTGTCGCACTGCTTGCCTGCGCCGTTGCTGCCTGCTGCGCTGCCAACGCCGCTGCCAGCGCCACTGCCGGCGCTGCTGCTGGCGAGCGAGGAACGACAGCCGCTGCCATAGACAATGTGGCCCGTGGCTAGCGAGGATTCATACAAACTATTCGTGCGATGATCCGAGGAAAGCGTGAGCGTTGAGCCACTGCTAGACAGCAGCACGCCGGATGCTGTTGCTCCCGCTCCGGCTCCCTCACTTGGTCCAACTGAGCTCTTGCTCTTGCGGTAATTGGAGATGCTCTCATAGCAATTGGAGCTGATTGAAATGGCATCCGTCTTGCTGCGCTGCAGTGCCAGCGAGTCGTAGCAGCCTTTGATTGTGTCATAAATGTTTTCATCATCCTCATCCGTCGAGGCTGGAGCGGCACAGGCCTTGCCCGAAGGTCGAGTTGGCTGTGAAGGCTTGGCCGGGGCAGGTCGCAGAACGCATGGAGTTTTGGGCAACACTCGCTTTGGCTTGGGCAGCTCCGGCAGCTCATCGCGCGTATTGCGTCCGAGTGTGCCGGTGCTTGAAGAGATTGGTGTAGTGGGCGTGGCTGGAGCAGCGAAGGCTTCATAGTCATCGCTGTTTCCCGAAGATCCCGCTATGGACTCGTAGCCCTCCAGCCAGTTGTTCTTGGTTGCAGCTGTTTCTGCTCCAGCTGCTAATCCTGTTGCTATTATTATAGTTGTTGTTGTTGCCTCTTCCAGCGTCTGATAGATGTCCTCCACCGGCATCGATGCCTCCTCTTTATCCATTTGGTTTGTTATCTTGTACAGGCTCGACGCCTGTGGCTCAGTCTTGATTTCCGTCGAGGGCGTTATGGGCTCATACATGGGCTCCAGCTCCTGCTCCTCCTGCATATGCTCCTTCGACAGTTGCTTCTCCTCCTCCTTGGCCAGCTGTTTCTGCTCCATGATCATTTGCTCGCCTTCAATGGCATTCACCAGTGTCACATTCACCGCCTGGTTGAGCAGCAGCTGATTGTTGGACACCTGCTTATTGGCCGCCTGATAGATGAAGGAGTTGTTGGGCAACAGGCGCTGCTCAAAGTCATCGTTGGCTGCGATCACCAGCTCCCCATCCTTGGTCTTTGCCGGCTCTCCGAGTATTTTCAGCTTTTGATCTAGCACCTCGAGTGCAGCCAAAATCTTTGCATCTGCTTCCATACAAGGTGACACCAGCGGCTGTTGCTCTTGCTGATCCTGCTGCAGCTGCATATCCTGCTCCAGCTGGTGCTCCTGATCTTGCTCCTGCTCCTGCTCCTGCTCTGCTGTTGCTTCTTTTTCAGCTACAGCTTTGGTGGGCGTATTCGGGGGCGTGGCTGCTTTCTTGTTCTTAATGAAAGGCAGCAGGCGCAGCTTCTCATAGATCGTCGCGTACTTGTGCTTGCGCTGCTTCTGTCGCTCCTCCGCCTCCACATCTTCCAGCTCTTCGGGCGTCAGCTCATCCACAGTGGGCTTTGGCTTGGTAGCTTCGTCTAGATCTGATTGCACACCCTCATCCGTGCTAGCGTTCGGCTCCACGGGCGTCTTCACCTCCTCTTTCACCACCTCCAGCTTCAGCTGCTGCTGCTCCAGCTCCAGTATCAGCTGTTGTTGGTTGCGACTGCGTTTGTTTCTCATCTGCTTGCTGAGGCTCAGTGTGCTGGGTCGCTGGCTCATCAGCTCCTGGTGCTTGCGCAGCAGCTGCTGTGTTTTCTGTGGCACCAGCGGCTTATCCAGTTTCTCGAATTTCTTAATATTACGCTGCACCATGGAGCTACGCTGAGACTGCGACGGCGACTGCGATGGCGAGTTTGACTGCTCCGCACGCTCCAGTTGCTGCTGTTGCTGTTGCTGCATAGCTGATCGCTCCACAATCTTGTAGACATGTGAGCCACGCGACAGCCACACGCCATTCTTGCGCTTCACCTGCTCCAGCACTCGCGCGTCCTTCTGTATGATCTCATTGAATTGTTGCGTCAGCTGACGCACCACACCGCCGCCGCCGCTGAACTCCCCACCAGCCCCGCCCCCTTGGTGAGTGTGTGTGTGACTGTGACTGTGGCTGGACATGCGTCGTGGTGTGTGGTGCTGATGAAACGACTTGCCCGCATGTGTTTTGAAACTGTATTTGCGGCGTGTGCCCGCACTGCGATTCGCGCTCGTCTGTGACGTCACAGTTATCCCCGAAGTCGCAATGGAAGTGAGCGAATTTGTAGAATTTACCGTTTGCAGCGATTCACTGCTGCCGCTGTGGCCGCTCGCCGCGCTGAGACTAATGCGAACTGAATTCGCCGCTGCTGCTGCTGCTGCCTCTGTCGCKGCTGCTGCTGACTGCTCGCTGATAAGATTCACCTGCTCGCTCGCACCCAATCGCTCTGCCGCTCGCTCCCCCAGGCGCCCACAGCCAGAGGCTTGCTCATGCTGATTATCGGATTGGCTGCACTTGGCCATGACGTCCTCGCGCTTGGGCCACTGCAGACGTTCGCCCGCCGCGTTGCCCGCTTTGACAGCGATAAACGTCGCGTTCGTATTACCGTTAACGTCGCTGCTGCGTCGCAGCATTTTTGCCTGTTCGGCGTTTTTGTACTTGTAGAAATTGTCCTTGTCCCGTTGCAATTGCAGCAGCACCTGTTGCTCCGACGACGTCTCCTGTAGATTGTGTAAGCTGGCCGCGCGTTTTGCGCGCGTTTCGTGCGCGTTTGTTAGACTGGGCCAGTCGCGCGCGTTATTAAACGCATTCACCAAACAGCTAACCGACTTGTTTAGCTTGCGCAGGGTGCCCAGCCCCTGGCGTTGTACCTGAGATTCCGCTGCCTCGACGCTGGCGCTGTGGATGCGTTTGCTCCAGAGCAAACGTAGAGTTTGAACGCCGCGGAATTCGCGAAACGCGCGCGATTCACAATTGCAATTGTTGTTGTTGATTCTATTGTTGTTAATGTTAGATTTATCGTTAGCGTTATCGTTACAGTTATTGTTATCGCTATCGTTAGCTTTATCGTTCGCACTTGCACTTTTCACCAGCCAACCGAGTATTGTCTTTTCTTTACGCGGCGAATTATTATTTGTTGTTGTTGTTGTTGCATTTCCATTGCATTCGCTGCGCGCTGCAGCCGCATCCATATTCGATCCAGATGAGGTCGCCATGGCGTCCGCTGACAACTGCATTGCTACGATTAAGCGTTCGGCGGCGACGTCTGTCGTGGCCAGCGGCCGATGGCCAATTCAAATGGAAGCTGCCGTCGCCTCGAGGCCTGAAAGACAAAGAGCAAGAAAGAGAGACAGAGATTTTAAGTGAGACAGCAACAGGTGGTGAAAGCGCATGAAAATTGTTGAAATATCTCCAAATTGAGTGGCCAAAAACTCTTGACGTGTATGCAAATTAGCTGCGGGGAGAGAGGCGCTGTCAAGGAGGCGTGGCATTTACAGTGGCATGCTTTATGCACACACAGCAACAGCTACGCGATGCTGGCCTAAATGAAACATGCGCCACAGGAAATGAGCCACTTAAACAACAACAAACAGCAAAACAAGTTGGGATTAAACACACAGCAGCTCGTTAAATCAAAGTGAATTGAAGACAAACGCGCCGTAAATATTGATAAAAAACAGAGATAATGCAATTCAGGCTATAGCGTAAATAATAATAATAATGAGAAATTGTTAAGAGTAAAAGCCCGATAAGATATGCGAACTAAAAAATGCGCAAATATAACTAAAAGCTGAGGCCTAAATGGATTTGATATGATATTCAGCTGATATAAATGATACATATAATAGAGAAATATATCATTATATCAAACAAAAGTTAAGAGCTGATCGGATATAATTCACAAATATATAAATATACCAAAATATTAACTATGCTAAATTATTTCATTATATCTAATGATTCAAGTTTTTATCAAGTTTCATATAGATATATTTGCATAGGTGTGTAAAACAGGGTTTATCAAAATTGTAGAACAGCTTTTTGAATTGCAACAACATTTTTATCAGACAAGGTCATAACAACTGCATAATTCTTAAGAGCAACAAAATTCGATACATAAACCTGCTAAAAATGATTATAAATAACATTCAAAGTATTGATTCTTATCTGCTGGCTAAGCTAAGGCCAAGCTTGATGTGTGGAGTGTCAGCCAAGCGCGTCTCAGGCGAATAAGTAAATCGTCTTGATAAAATTTCATTCCTAAAATATCATCAGTGACTTTTGAAACGAGCAACGTGGCGTATACGCAATTTGTTAGCTGCAGCTAAGCGTCAACAAAGCTTTGCTTATGCCATACCAAGTGGGTTTAGTTACACACACACACACACACACACAAACACACATTCACACAGCATTGCGTATGCGTGATATGGTTTTTTGGCAATTCGATCTTATCAAAACTTGCGCACAGTTAAGGAAAAGATATAAAAAAAAAAAACAAGATTTATATATATAATAAAATGCTTGCCCAACTGCCTAAGCCGCACACGTTGTTCGCCACTTGCCAGCCCCACACACCGACCCGACCAGTCGCCCACCTGCCGGAGCTCACGTTTTTGTCACACACACTCACTCACACTCACACACAATTGTCAATTATAATGAGCGATTACATAAAAAGCGTACAACAAATTTCTTTGCTTCACTGTAAAATAGTTTTTTAAGCCGCTTTTGTTGGCTGCCATAGTTGTCTGCTTCTTCTTCTTCTTCTTCTTCTAATACCACCTTGCCATCCCGCTGCTGGCCCTCAAGCCCGAATGGCTCCTTCAGCTGCTTGTCAGCAGCGGCGACAAACGCGTTGCGAATAACAAAAATAATTTAACGCTATGGCAAATGGTATTTAAACAAAATATTAAATAAGAGTCAGCTATACACACACACTCACACACCAGCACAGTCATACACACACACACTCGCTCAGACAATTGCAATGTAAATAAGAAGCTAAATTTGTTGATTACGCAAACACTTATTAGCCATATAGAAAAACAGTCAAATGAATAACTATATAAATTTATATACAATATGCAATATAAATTATGTACAAATATATATACATATTCACTTGACTGCCTTCATTTGTGGCTTATAGAAATATGGCCTCAAAACTCTATTATCATCAAATTTCACGTGCCTAAGTAAGCAAAAATAAAGATTCATTAAAATCTATTTGTCATTAAGTAAAAATAAACAATAACTGCATAATTCTCGATCAAAGCTACCCAGAAAAAAGTATATATATCATCATCATTATATTATAAGCTAATATGCTCGCTTTTACCCACATGAACAAGCATTAAAACAGACAAAATCTCATTTTCCCATACCCTCTTCTATATATCCAATTATAAATAACATTTCAATGTGTGATTCTCTCTTATCTACTGTGAATTTCAGAGATCTCGTGAATAAATTCCAAATCCAAATCCCTTGTCTATAAATATTTATTCCGAATTAGCATGCAAAATCAGCTTAAAAATCAATTAGTTTTCAACTCGAAACAGTCGCAACACATTTAAATGGATATTTTTATGCGTTAGCCGCTGCCTTATTGGATCGCTCGATCAGCCAATGTCAGCGGCTGTCACCTGTTGCAAACTAAGGCCAGGTGAACAGCATTTTGGGCCCGGCCAGCAGCGCACAATAAAGCCAACTTTGAATGACAGAGAGAGAGGGAGAGAGAGTGAGAGAGAGAGAGAAAATCAGCAACAAATGCTTTGCATATTAAAAAGTTAAGCGATAAACCAAAATGGAAAATGTAAACAATGCAAAAGTTTTAGTAAAATGCATAAAAAAAGCTAACGTATAAAAAATATGTGAATGAAAACAAAAGTCTGGCAGATCTGTCAAAGAGACTCACTCTCTATATATGGAGTGCTGCACCTGCAGCTGTGACAATTTTTTGTATATACGTATACCCTGTAATTTTTGCATATGCAAAGGGAAAGGAACGTTGAAATTGAAAGTGAGTATGCAACATAGAGAGAACAGAACTGTATCTGACATTTGCAAATGATAGTTTGATTACAGGGTATCTGTGGTTCAACTTTTTCATTTGCATAAAGTGAAATTTATAAAACTGCAATTTTTTCTATTTTATTTAGAGTCAGCTATTTACAGGGTATTTGCTGTTCAAGCTGTGTGACTTTTAAGCTGCTTTTATATAGTTTTTCAGCATTTGCATGCTGTAGTCGTAATGCAAATGACTTCGTCAAGATGCAGCGCCCATAAACAAACGCAGATGAGACGGATGTGCATTATAAAACCAACAACAACAAACAAAAACATGATCATAATTTAAGTGAGATTTTTACAGTTACACTTGCATTTGACCAATTCAAAAGTTAAGCCTATGCTGGGCTGGGTGAAAGTGACAAAAGTTGTAAAAAAAAGTGATAAAGATAAAGATAAATAAACGAAAATAGCTGAGTGAATGAGCTGCCAAGCTGCAGCCTAATGTCTAGCCAATGACTGATACTATTATTGTTCATCATTCCAAGCAGAAGAAGAAGAAAATGCCCAAGAATCGACGATTAGGCACGCGGTGGCTAATGAAACAATCAATGACTAGATAAGCGCGCTTTGTGCAACCGAATGAATGCGGAAAAAGCGCCAAGATAAGTATGAATTATTCAACATGATAAAACAAATACCTATACACATTAATCTATATACATATATA